CCATTCCCTGTCCCCCTGCACCGCTCGGGGTAAAGAGGAGGATAAATTGGGATTGATGTTAAGCCCAGAAAGAAGGGAGGAGTGGGTGGAAGGTGTTATTTTTTTTTTAAGATATGTTTTTGTTTCTCACTTCTCTTCTCTGATTTGTTCTTTAATAAATTTAACTAACTTCCCTGAAATCAAGCCTGTTTTGCCCAGGATGGTAGATATGGGTGGCCTCTCTGTCCTTACCTCAAACCGTGGGCCCTTCGTTCTATTTTCTACCCCTGTCTGGCAGAGAGGGGGGAGTGACAGAGCAGCTGTGGGGGCACCTGGCCACTAGTCAGGGTCAAACCACTACAACTTTAAAAAACCCCCACAAACATTAAGGGAGGGGATTTTGAAGAGAGATACATAAAAAGAAATATTGCTACCTTTTATCTCTAATAGTCCATAACCAAAACTCAGATTAATGTCACAGCAGGACATGTAGCAACTTACCTGTAGTCCTCTACCATCCAGCAGCCATTCAGTGAATCTCTTGGTGCTGATCTAAGAGATTAACTACCGGAATCTCACTATACAACAGAGGTACAGCTTTTGGGAGGGAAGATCTGCATTTCCACTGCTACAGCCACTCAAGTCAAGACGGACCAACAAACCCACGCACTCTGGAGATGAAGTCACAAATGCGTGGGCTGACTAGCCCAAACTGGAAAGACTAAGCCAACTGCTGGATTGTCTCTTAGCAAATTCCCTTTCCTCTTTTGTTAGTTCCAGCTGAAGACCATCATACAAAGGTTTTTGTCTTTTGATACATACAAGTATATACAGTACGTACTTGCGTATGTTAAAGAACAATCATGGCAAAATAAAAGTACTTAATGTGAACCTCATTAATACAGATCTTACACGGTGGAGATTTAGACAGTACTATAGAGAGCATGTGAAAAAGGTGCCACAACAAAGGAAAAAAGACAGGAAGACAGCAAAGTGACTCTTTTCTCTGCCCTTCCATGAGGAATCCAGAGGGGATAAAAAGTGCTTCATTACCTGAATCTTGAATCTTCTTGACAGAGCCATTCCACTCACCATTCACCAAGTTTAGGATCCATATAAATCAGTTTTGAAAGAAAAGTCACAGTTCAGGAATTGAGAGTCACAATAAGTGACCTGCCTCTTTTCCATCCTATCCTCCCTTCAGCGTATACTCCCCGGCAACACAGCAAGTGGGCAACAGTGAAAGCTGATATCAGCACCCACAGCAAAACATCACCTCCTTCTAAATCATTTCTGTGGAATAAGATCTAATCTCATCCGAACGCTGTCTTTTGTTTTATGAATGCGGTACCACACTTACCGGCAAGCTGTTCTGGTGCGGGCGAGGCTGGGACAGGTACTGCGTTTGTGACCTGCCTTGCCACAAACAAAACAGCCAGCATCAGTCTTCTCACACGTGTGGTTTTGAAGAATGCAGCGGTTGCAATTGTTACAGTGAAACCAAGCTGCAAAGTAAGTAACACCATTTATGGCCTTGAAGAGGTTTAGAAAGATCAGTCTGCAACTAATCCTGAAAATAAGCTTTAAATATAGGCTGCATTACCAAGTTTTTAATTTTGTTTTAGTTTTACGGAGATGGACGTAGTTAGTTTCTGGTCCCTCATCACATTTCACAAGGCAGCCAGGTACTTCCTTCATTAGATATACTGTGTAACTATTCCAACATATCTGAATTATTTTGCCATTAGGACTGTTATCCTGTATGTGATTTTAATATGAAAAAATAATCCAGATGTTAAAATGGACTTAGAAATTGTGATTTCTGTATCTGTGTCAAAAAATGATTGTTACAGCTACAAATACAACTGTATGGAACATGATTTGATTGTGCCCTCTGAAACATTTTAGCAATTGCCTATTCATTTATGAAATTCTAATGAAAAAGTTTATAAAACCAGGAAACACACTATAAACCAAAATCTATCCCCACGTGTTGCCCGATCTAGTCAAGGGGTGGCGTCCCCGGCCACAGGGAGGCTGGATTAAAATGATCTCTAAGGTCCCTTCCAGCCCAGGCCAGTCTATGATTCTATTACTCTACGATCATTAACGTAACAAACATAAATGGGATTTAATATGCCTTGAGAAACATTTATCACACTTCCACGCAGTGCAAATATACCTGAGTTATCAAAGGGCAACTTGTGTGAAACTGAGATTTTCCTTTAGTCTGTCTTCTGAATTATTACATTTTACTTCTTCTACCAAATATTTTCTCTTCTGATTTATAATCTCAGTTTCTTTGGACTACATCTTAAACAGTAAGCGCACTTTTATTCAGAAAAGTAGTTTTCTGTACTTACACGGTTTTACACATTTTTGGCAAAGAACACAATGTTTCCATTGTCTACCATCCTAAAAAAGAAGAAAAAAACAAGTGTGAATTGTTTGAAACTGAACTACTGATGTATGGTTCCCGTTATTTACAGAAACACATCCTTGGTAGGAACAACTGTAACTCGCAAACAACAGTCCCGAGAATCTGTGACAACCGCAGCAAAAGGGCTGCATTTGAAATTAACAAGTTCTAAGATTTCTGAAACGGAAGAAATGTATGTGTCAACACACCACCCGTGAGGAAGGTACGGTGTAAGTGGCAAGTAGCAAACCCCACCTGTCCTCTTTCCAAAACACAAAAGGAATCAGGGAAAGAATTCCCAGTGGGTTATTAATGATGTCCCGTGAAGTCACTAGCGAGTCTACAAAACTGAAGTTTGGAGTTACCTAAGGAAATCAGTATCAGAATAGGTTTATACCAGAGCAAATATTGCAGAAGTTATTATTTGACTACTGCTAAAATTACCATTCGAAAAGAAGTTAAAATACTTACTTTTGATGTACATGAATTGCACATCTCACAGTGCTGGTTACCAGAACTAACATACCGCTGACATATAGTGCAAAACCTGGAAAAAAATGTATAAACAGACTGGTCCACTGTTTGGTCATAAAGCAATATAAATTAATTTTATAAAAGCTTAACAATAAGGATTGCAAAATCACTTTGCCAAATTAAATACGATGGTTTTGATGCATAAAATCACCACTTTATGATTTTATGAATCACCACTTTATGATTATGAGCACCTCATGATCATTTAGACACAGTACATCCAAACAGTATAATTCAGGTACTCACACTCAAATTATCAACACTAATGGCACTAAATCAAATCAAATCCATTCTTTATCCTTGATGTTTCTCTTAGCGTTAATTTTATTAACTACTGTTCTCAATCAAGCTGACTATCAGGCGTAGACCTAACTCTTTCTTTTAGGTGTCCACAACTTTTCCTACAGACAAGCTGAGGAATCTCTGCATTCCACAGGGGGAAATGTACACGTCTTTTTAGGTACCCAGCTCTCCCACACATTATTTACAGAATGTGAGACCTCAGGATGAGACAGCGAAACGTGCTCTTGAGCCTGGCCATCCAAAAGTTAGGCGTGACAATACTGAACAGCACATCCCTAAGTCCTTTAGAGACTTTATGCTGTAATTAAGAACAAACAAACTCTTTCAGTCACTTGAGTATTAAGACATCTTACCTATAACCCTCTTCTGCAGGAAGTACAATCGTACTTGGGGTGAGGTTCGTGAATATACGGACAGGGGACTGTCTGCGACCTGTCTTGCCATGTTTATAAAGTGCATGATTATCATAGTCTACCTAGAAGAATAAAATCACGGAGTCTTAAATGGAATGCTAAGCACAGGCAGAACTATTTACATAATTATTATCTTTATCAGTGCCTTATGAAATTTTCTTTTTCATGTAAAAGGCTCCAAATTAAGAATATAAATTCTATAGCAACTATTTTGTCTAATTCAGTTTTAAATTTGTGCAATCATAGTATCAGGCTAGACTCAAGAATCTAAGTTCCCAGTACTACAGTAATCCTATTTCACTTACCTCTTTTTGCACTTTTGCAGGGGATAGTTAGAATAACATTGCAGTTTTTCTACAAAACAATCCATTAAAAAAAAACAACTATACCATTAGGTGTACCCTGTCAGTACAAGAGTTGATGTGCACATCTTAACCTATCTCAGAATAATTATAAAATTGCAAATTCCATCAGCACTGCTTCTACAAAGACTGCCTTCAGAGACTTGTCACAAAAATCCTCATCTCTGAACACTAGAAAAAAAGTCTAGTCTAACACAATCTTCCATTATTTTTTCCCACAAATTTCCATTCTACAGATGTTTTCTGAGCAAGATGTCAAACTTTATGCAGAGTTGTTATATGAGAAAATAGAATTTAACATCATGAATACCCATGACTGAGCTCTCGAAAGTCACCAACATACACTTTCTTGAGTAACTTAGAGAACGGGATACAATATTCGAGAAGGTGATGTCAGAGTATTGCTTTATCACTGAACTTTGTTTACTATATAATTCCAAAAATTCCCATTGCTGTAATTCTACTCTGGTCTCAGCAGTTTTGGAGATGAAAGACCTTAATTTATTATTTTTTAATTTTTTTTTAACCAGTGCTGGGCATTACCTGTCAAGCTACTGACATCAACATACAGAAAAAAATAAACACTTTTCTTTAAGTTACGTCTCGCCTCTCCAATATGCACCTGTCAAAATTAGTGCAATTTTTGTAACACTGAAAATCTGGAAGAAGAAATAAGCTAATGGACAGATGAGCTAAAGATACGTAACAAACCACAGATGTGTGAAGAAGTTATCAAAGGTACAAGTGAAACAAACATAGAATCCGGGCTTCACACGATGCCCACCATCAGGTTAGAGGTGCCTCCAGTGCAATCAGAATTGAAGTTCAAGACGGTGGCTCATTTACAGAGACGTGTTACCACTCGGTCTGCTTTGCTTCATACTCCTGTTCACACTGAACACAACCGAAATTTAGCAGATTCACCAGGTTCAGTCATACCTGGTAATCCATCATAGTGAAGCTTGGGAAAAATTCAAGAATGCGAGCCTCAAAGAAGTATGGAAATATCCAGAACACAGGCATCTCTTGGTTGTTATGATCTAGTAATGAAAAGATTTAGATGTACATTAAAGAAAAAGAAGGCACACAAAAGCATAAAAAACTTAAAGAGTTGATGTTCCGAATACATAATCATGTGTGTCATGTTGGACATAAGAATGAGCTCCTTTAGGCATCAGAAAGTTTTGGCTTATTTTATATATGCAGAGCTGTAACCTCCACTTAACTAACAACTCCTCACTCTCCTAGGTGGGTAAGAAATGGTACTGGTTTCCTGTCTTATTTCTCTCCACCTTTAAAGTCCGTTTTAATTGCGAAGCAGAATTCTAAAAAAATTCGCAAACCTTTTTAAGAGAGAGAATTGGATATTATTAAACTAAAAGTATCAGAGCAGCAAATCAGATCTACGGTAGTTCACCTTCAGAAATCATATTGTGAGCATGTTCATGTGTGTAGCAAGAACCACAGACTTTGCAATAGGTACTTTTTCCTGCAGTGATGTTACAGCTCGACCCACCTGGCTGCAATACATACCTTCTTCTTCTGTCTCCTTCCACAGTGACATTAGTTTTTTAAAACTAGAAGCCAGTGCTTCCACTAAACCTCCAAATGGGGGATCGGCTACCATAATGACTCTTTCACCACTGTCTTGATATAGGAATTTCCTACAAGTTTCATGTGCAGCCTGTAAGAAACAGAGGTTAATTCCTATAAACATAGATTTGAGAACTAAACAAATACTGTCTTTGGCAGTAAAATGACTGTTGTAGAACTTTCAGCTTTGAAGATGCAAGTTACTTCCTCTTACGAAGTTCTGCTTGTGTGGCATTTAAACAAAACCTAACAACTAGATTTGAAGCACTGAAAACAAGTGCCCTGTTCAGTTAGAGATAACGTATGAAGGACAGATGCAGTTCAAGCTTCCTAAAATGGTCTTTTTCCTAAGGGGGCTGAATTTAACTTGGGAAAACTATGTTATTCATAGCAAGAAAGCAAAGTTCAGGCTCAGAATACATTTTATTTGTGCCCTTTATTTTTGTTCTGCAAAGCATTATCAAAGTAATGGGAAAAAAAATCAGTCCACTGAAAATCAATTCATTCCATACTGGTTATAAAAATAGAGTGTTCAAATCTTAGCAACCCAGTCTGGACTCTATTATTAAAGGAAACACAAAAGCTATATATTCACTGCCATCTTGCAGTGTTCTCTCATCTATTATTTCACTTCTACTGCATTCCAAAAACATATTTTTAACACTAACATGCATTCAAAAGTGCTGCAATTCAGTCCTTGAATACACTGCACTACAGTATCACCTTTTCATACTTTGAAAAGAACAGTACAGTTTACAATGCAGATGAATAGTCTTTCATTTTGACTGAATTTTTAAAAAAATATTTGAATACAGTAATGGATTAAAAAAAAATCCAATGATAAGGCTTTCACACCAGCCTTCCATTTAATTCTTTCTATTTTCAAGATCCTATTCAAAATTAGCCTTTAGAATGGAAAAAATCTGAAAATAATCTACGTAGGTGACACATTTATGCAAATCAGTGGTGGCTCACTAATCATGGCAGAAGAGAACCAAAGAGGGAGTATACTATCGGGATAAATGTTTAAAATTAACATTTAGAATTGAGTTACACTGTAATTCTCTATACTTAATGGGACACTTGAAAAGGAACAACAAATTCTGCATTTTCTTTAACCATCACACTAATTCAACCTCATTTTATGCCAACAAGATTAACCTTTTGACCTTGCTTGCCTGGAATAAAACAGAAAAAAACTCCTCTACTTGTAAAGGCTTGGAATAAAATAATTAATTCTGTTGTAGCAACACAAGAACAGGGCTAGTGGATACTCATGTGAGGCAACAACTCACATCAAACTATCATTTTAATAAAAGCAGTGGTTAAAGTGTTTAAGTAACGTTAGCAAGCACAAATTTAATAGGGAACTTTATCTTGGCCACGGTTTAACGGTGGATCTGGCATTGCTAGGTTAATGGTTAGATTCAATGATCTGAAAGGTTTTTTCCAACCTAATCGGTTCTATTCTATGATCCTTGAATCAAGTAGGAGAGAATTACTGAAAAGGCACTATTATTCTTTGACTTCCAATACTGTTGACCACTCTTATATTATGATAGGTGTTTTCTACTAAACTAGCCATGACTTCCTCAAAAAATTCCGCGTTCAACAACATATACGTTCTTACAAAGCACTTGAGAAATGCTTGTCCTTACCTCACCACCAAAAAAATGATGATTAAACATGTTGTAGTGGCAGAACTCATCCTCTGTGTAGAACTGGGAATACCTGTAAAGTAAGTTTTAATTAGTAGTGAATAAAAACAACTCCTTGCCTGCCATAAGGGGCATTTACAGTGAAAAAAAGGCCTTAGGAAAAAGAGTATCTTTGGGTTTTCATTACTGACAACCCATACCAATACTGGGAATTATTACGTTATGATTACGTTTCTCATAAACTGGATGTCATTTGTGTATGTGTACAGTAACAGAGATGAAGAAACAGGAAAGGGAAAGTAAACACCAATTTATCTTTTAAAGCAGTAAGAACACAAATCTTTGTACATACTCTTCAGACAGATAAATGTTTGTCAAAGCCTACCTGAAATCAATATCTAGCAGAAGGCTTCTAACCCTGAAATCTTCTTCTTGTGATGCTTTTGACTGGATCATTTCATGAAGCCTGAAGTATAATTGGAGCAAAGAAATTTAACACATCATCATTGGCTTCAGAAATTATCTTGAAAGACAAGAGTGTCTGGTACTTTATTAAACCTAAAACCAAACAGACAGAGAAAATGGAGCAATCTGAATTTGGATTATTCCATTTGGCTTATATTCAAAGTTAGACAAAAAAAAATCAGTGGATGACCATGAACAAAAAAACCAAAACAACAACATAAGCAAAGAGACTCTTTCTCACTTCTGTAAGAAACAAAGCAGGACATCTGAGGTGCGTGTTTGTGTGCCGCATGCAGTGCAGCTACAGCCCTATAAGCTTACAGCTTCTGAGCTCAGAGCAAGACCCTAGTAGATGCCTGGATAACACCACCCAATTAAACCATAATGAAGCTTTTATTACAGGAGAATCCTTGATACAATTCTGAGGCAGAAATATTACTTGAAAGTGTAACAATTCCCACGGACATACCTGGGTGTTCCAACAGAGAGCACTCGTCTGAATCCTAAATTAATAATTAGATCCAGCAGGAACTGGCAACTTCTGTCTGCAAATAAGTACTGTGCATTTGTTTTTTTGTTTTCGAGTGGATACAGAAGCTGACTGGGACGTTGCAACTGCGCAGTGGAGGTATCACATAGGAACTGGTGACCTGAGTGTTTTTCCCATTCGGCTGGCAATAGCAACTGTTGGCACTCCTGGCAAAACCTCCTCTTCGATAATGGCAACATAACAAAATTCTTGTACCTTTAAATACATAATAGGAAACAAACTTTGAGAAAGGCTCTATAAAAGACATGAAGGGGAGCTCTGAAGGGGGTTTCACATTTTTAAGAGTTCCGACACTTCAACAAGCAACGTCATTTAAGCTGCTCTTGCCAGACTACCACCTACATGTGAATGATGTAATATTTACGAACAGAACTCAAAGGATACTTTGAAAAGCACGCAACACACTGGCCAAATATACAGTAATCCCCACAAAATAACTGAATTACAGAGTGAAAACTCTGTATCAGCTACGACCAAGTGCTCCTATACGCTTATACGCAAAACTCAAGACAGTATTTATTAGAATCGTAGAATGGCCTAAGCTGGAAGGGACCTTAGAGATCATTTGAATCCAGCCTCCCTGCCGCCCGGGACGCCACCTGTCGACTAGGTCAGGGAACACATGGGGACTGAAAGGGAATCGAACCCACAACCTTAGCGTTGTTAGCACTACGCTCTACTGACTGAGCTAATTGGCCCCCTCCTTTCCTTCTTTTCATAATGTTAAGCCTGTTACTTTTGCACATAAATTCAGGAATAATTTTTTGAACCGAAAGTGCTACTGGTCTGTTGTTAGCACATTATGAACACTAACATAAGAGCTATACATACCAAAAAAAAGAGAAAAGAATAAAAAAAGAAAACAAAAGAAAGATGGCGTTCCTGAGTTGAAAATACCATGCTCTAATTTACATGTTTCAAGCTATTTTCCTGTTGCAGTCAGTAAGTTCTTATTTTTCCAAATCCCTCTGTCATGTTTTCACATTTTTAAGAATCTTGAAATATTATCTGTTCAGTGAAGAGTACCTAAACTTATACAACTTGATTTTTACTGAAGAAAATATAACAATACCTTTCCACATTTTGTCTGTGTGTAAAAGGCGGCTGATGATTTCTATTATATTCTTCACGTGCTGCAAGCCTAGTTTCTGACACCTGTAAAAATTATGCATATAAAAAGTTACAAAACAAACAGCTACTGCTCTCTTATTGTACATCAAATCTCAATAATAAAATCAAAGAGGGCATCAAACGTCTCATGCTTTACCTACTCTGCACAGAAAAATTATCACATACTTCAGATTGTTGTTTCAGAACAAGCATGACTGCAGCACAAAGGCACGCTGCAAAACACCACGAGTCTCTCACTGCTAATTTAAACTGCAAAAAACAAACAGAAGCATTCCCTTCTTCTCTCCCATGTAATAGGCAAAACCTCAAAACATAAAATAGAATCATTAAGGTTGGAAAAGACCTCTAGGATCAAGTCCAACCATCTACCCAACAGCACCTTGACCATTAAACCATGACCCGAAATGCCCCATCTACATGTTTTGAGAACTTCAGGGGATGGCAACTCCCCCACTTCCCTGGGCAGCCTGTTCCAGTGCCTCACCACTACTTCAGTAAAGACATTTTTCCTAATATCCAAACAAAATCTCCCATGGTACAAGTCTGAGGCCACTTCCTCTTGTCCTATTGCTAGTAACTAGGGAGAAGAGACCAGCACCCACCTCACTACAACCTCCTTTCACATAGTTGTAGAGAGCAATGAGGTCTCCCCTCAAGCCTCCTCTTCTCCAGACTAAACAGTCCCAGCTCCCTCAGCTGCTCTTCCTAAGACAGCTTCTCTAGACTCCCCACCAGCTTCCCTGCCCTTCTCTGGACCCGCTCCAACACCTCAATATCTCTCCTATACTGAGGCGCCCAAAGCTGAACACAGTACTCAAGCTGCGGCCTCACCAGTGCCAAGTACCGGGGCACGATCACTTCCCTACCCCTGCTGGACACGCTGCTTCTGACACAGGCCAGGATGCAGGTGGCCTCCTTGGCCACCTGGGCACCCGGCTGCTGTCAGCCTGCACCCCCACATCCTTTTCTGCCAGGCACCTTTCCAGCCACTCCTCCCCCAGCCTGTGGCGTTGCCGGGGGTTGCTGTGACCCAGGGGCAGGAGCCAGCACTTGGCCGTTTTAAATCTCCTAAAGTTGGCCTTGGCCCATCGCTCCAGCCTGTCCAGACCCCTCA